TGAGCCACCTCTGCTGTTGTGCCTCTGTTGTAGAGCACTATTAGCCGTTGGCTGCCAACTACTTCCCTGTCGAGCACTCGTGGTAATCAGGAAACGTTGTTGCCGCTGATGACAATCGCCTCCCACATCTCACCTTGGAGACGTCGCTCAAAGACCACTGTGGCGTCACCCTTCTTCACTACTTCCTTTGCAGGTTTCCGGTTGTCGGCTCGCGCTCCGTTCCAAGGGGCTACCTCCACACTCTTCGGGGAAAGCACACCCCGCGGGTCCAGCCGTTCGTTGCTGTCTTGTGTCAGCCGTTGTCCCCCGCTGATCCACCTCTCCTCGTTAAACCCTGCGTTGCCTTGCAGAGCATTGCAGTCGCCAGACAGAAAACTGCCATCATGTTGTACTGGCTGTCCAAGCCCCTCCTGTCCTCCTTCCCCGGGCGTGCCCACTGCTGCTCCAGTGTGTCTCCTTCCTCGCCGCTGTTCTTTGTCCCTTAATTTCCTTTGTCGCTGTTCTCTATCCTAGCATTTTTAGTCCAACCGCCTTTCTTTCTGCCATCCCCCGTCTGCTTGGGCACTGACTCTGGCGTAGCTGCACTTGCTACTCGGTCAACGAGCCCACCAGCGCCGTCAGCTCCTTCATCCGCCTCCTGTAGAGACTTTCCACCTCAGTCAGCTTCACACAAATGTTGCAGACGAACTAACCTGTGTCCTCTTCTGCGTCCAAAGTATTCTTGAAGGGACTCTCTTTCCGGAAAGCCCACCTCTTGCATCCATCGCACCTTATGAGCGCTTCCTCCCCAGCTTTTCTACTGCGCCACAGCCGCTGGCCCTTTTGGTTTCCCTTTGGCAGCTCCGTCACACCAACAGGGCTGCCCGTCCGTTTTCGTCCACTACTGCATTCGTGCCTCATCCCAACGTTCAAACTTTAATTAAACCGGGCACATAACAAACTTTCAGCGGCTTGTATGGCTGATGATCAGTGTTCCCATCCCTCTAGCAGATAGTTTCAGTTTTTTCGTAGACGCCAAAAACCAAACTTTGAGCCGTGATATTCATAAAACTACACACAATATCGAGAAAAAAAACAATATCTTGTAATTCAGCGACACTGCTTTATCCGAAAACAGTCGTAATTCCAAACTAAAAAATGGTAACTGAAGCTGCCCTTTAAACGAAATCCCGTAGATTTCGTCCAGTCCAGAGCCGTACCCAGAAAAAAATTTCGGGGGGGGGGGGGGGGGGGGGGGGGGGGGTTTCGGGGACAACGGCGGCCATTTTGAAAATGTCTATTGTCTTATTTTCGCCTATGAATTATGTGCATCGGTGGCATATAATGGAGAGTTATAGCAAACCGAAGAACCGGTCCCGGTTTGGTACCCGGTAGCCGACCGGTGCCACTGCGCGTGCGCAGAGGTGGAGATTAAAATTGGCTGGCTGCAAGTGCACCGACCAGGGCCATACCCAGAAAAAAATTTCGGGGGGGGTCAGAACCCCCTAACCCCCCCCCTGGTTACAGCCTGGTCCAGTCTATTGACAAGCTTTCATTCACCCGTAGCCAAAGCCGGTCAAATTTTAAGTTAAACTACTTCACTTATCGATTGACTGCGACTTCGAAGAGTCACAGTCCTAGAGATAGCTGGAGAAAAAACGAGGAATTTCACATAGAAAATAAGCCTAATATGATATGTTCTTATATCTACTCTGATATGTGTCAACTCTCTCAAATGCTCAAATATTATTTCTTAAATCTCAAACCTGAAGAAACAATCTCTACCTGACCAATTATGTTCGCAGCTATTCAAGACATCGCAATCACGTATAAAACTGGTTTGTGTGTCGTTTTTTTTTTTTGTTTTTTTTTTGCAATTTCGCTGCAATGTTGCATTGTCATATCAACATATCCCACATTACAGATTTTTTAAAATTTATTATTTCACATTCAGAAGGTGTTTTTACCGAGATCAGATTTGCATTGCAGCAAAGCACAGCACAAATTGCTGTGCCCACAATAAGGTTGCTTTTCCATAGTGCACCACAGCCTATTAAGAAGCGCACTTGCTGGAGCTAGCACAGCCGCACAATCGAGCCTTTAGAACTACACATGTTGGAGAACTTCCAACAACTGTCGTGTATGATGAGAAGGTCGAATCGAACAGTACATAATCAGAACTGGTGTTACAAATCATCCAAAATAAGCACAATCCTACTGTAACAGTCCGGCAAAGTACCTAAACCTGAATTATTAGAAGGCGGTTAAGAACCAAAATGAGCTTATGAGTCATGACGCAACACTGACGCAAATTCGTCACACTTTGGTGAATCGTGGCAGTATGTAGCAGGGTGAGCCCACCATTGGTGCAGTTTGATGCAATTGGCACATCAATCACATCACCGTGTTTATAGGCTGTGTCTAAATAGTGCAAGAAAAATCAAATTTAATTATGATGATGGCAAATTGTAGCAATTCGGTTGGTTAGTGTGAACGCAAGTGGCCAGTGTTGCTGGTGTTGCGACGTCAAGTTGCTGGGAGAAATCGCACCGTTTGAAGCGGGCCTAAAGCCCGCTTCAGAGAGGGCAGCTCTTACCCACGTCTTAAAGTCAACACCAGCAACACGGACTTCCGCATTCATACGGAGCAACTAATGAAGCTCCAATTGCTGTGCATTGTTATCATAATCATAGAAATTTGAAATCTATTGCACGATTTAGATACAAAGTTACTAATTACATGTTTCTATACCTTTCGTGGCATTGAGATTACCATTTCATCCCCTTGAAACCATTTAGTCAGGAAAACTATCTATTTCAAACCAAAACCAAGTTAAACCCTCTCTAGTTATCATCACCACAACAGAAGGGGTCACGTGAAATGCAGCGTCTCCAAATGGCTGCTGCTGCCTCAAACGTCCGAGTTTTTGGAGTTGCTCATCCAATTCGAGCCGGACTCAATTCCAGCATTTTGTGTCGCAGCATAGGGATCTAGGGAATTATAAGGAACAACTCACCAGCAACCTTGAAATTGTAGGTAAGATTGCCCCATCTGAAGTGAGCCTAAATTAGGGTGACAACCTTTCTGCTAGCGAAATGCGGGACACACGAAACCGGGGGGGGGGGGGGGGGGGGGGGGGGAGGGGGGGGGGGGAGGAATTTACGAACACACACAACACGGACCGAGGCTCTGTTAACACATATAATATCTTGTGCTTTTTATACACCTGCAAATTGTATTGCAAAGTTGAAAGTATAAAAATCAGCTGCAGCAGAACTCAGTGCATCAAATGAAATTAAGAAGCAGTAAATCTTTTTCGGGTATTCAGCATGGTGCTATGCACATTTTTAACATTATTTTCTTTTTCGACCGCTGTGAGTTGCAAGCTAAACATTCTGCAACACTTTTGCCTTGACACAACGATATGAAAATTATTGCAGCACTTTATTTTTAAAACTTTGGCGAGCAATTTTCTCTCACGATATTTTGCCACCAAGGAACTAGGCACAACGGCGCATGCGCGTCCGTTCTCCTGCAAGAATGACGGTCGCTTCCCGCTATGCTTGGATAGAAAATGGCTTACCATTGCGATTCATACGATTCCCAGCGACCCCCGCGCTTCCCCGTGCCCCGTTGTTCGGCAGCATCATGAGTTGCAGAGCGAATTTTACGACAGTGGGAAATGCGAGACATTTTGAACATTTTTGGTATATCTTGCGGGACGCGGGACACGAGCCCTCAATGCGGGACAGTCCCGCGAGTCGCGGGACGGGTGGTCACCCTAGCCTAAATGTACTGAGGAGTATACAAATTTTTCTTCTTTTCAAATATTCGTTTAGGAGATATTTTGTTTTTCTGGGGAATTTTAGGGTTTGGAGATGAGTCATACACAAATTAAGAGTTGGCGGTTAGCCAGCCCAGCTTGTTTTGTCTAGTTCACACAATGCATGACACTTCTCGAGTCCACAAGCATCAAGTTCGACTTCAACTTCCTTCACGGTCCGTCGGAAAGCGCACGTTCGCGATTTGCAGAACTGAACTGAACTTTGCCCAGAGCACCTGCCTCTGAACAAGAGGTCCTCTCATCGGCAGATCGACCCAATGTACGCCACGTAATGGACGTGGAACCCGAATCATGTAATCGAAGTTAATCCAGTCAAATAAACATTATTTCCATTCCTTCACAAATCAATGTCGCATTACTAATTAACGAAACGTCGGCACCCTGCCACTGCTGACATTGAGACTGTTCACCACTTATGATTTGGTTAATGTATATCTCTTCAGGGGAACACTTAGGTTCGGGAATGGAGCCTTTAAAGTCCCAAGTTGGCTAATTCCTGAATAATGTTTCCTTCTAGGGAACGTTTCTCCTTTTTAGAGGAACTTCTACGTAGGTTTTGGGATGGATCCTTCAAAGTACCGAGTCGGAAAGTCCCTTTCTCTTTCTGAAAATTTTAACACAGAATGTGTTTTACGAGTCGTTTCCCATGAAAAAAAATGGTCACAAACGAGCGTCATGAACCAACACCATAAATGAGTGATGCACTTGGAGCGCTGCATGACATTAAGGTTATATATAAAGTTCACATGTAAAGTTTGCAGCCTGGCGGGGCTCGGCTTGCCAGTCGGATACTATAGCCACTGAGCTGCGTAGTGCAGCTGCTCTGAAGGATTGGGCTCCGGGCAGAATGTGCCAGCGAGAGGGGTGCGACGTCGTACCGCATGACCGCTCGCCTCATTGACATTGCGCAAGCGCCATATAAGGTAGTACCCTTGCGGCGCACTTATTCTTTCTGTGGCTAACATCTGCGGTGCACAATGAAAAGACCGGCACAAACCAAGCACGATGTGCCATTTGTGCGGGGCATATTCTACGCTCCCTGGTGTTTGACAGCAAGATTAAGAGAAAGAATTTCTTTCTAAGGAAGTTTTCCTTGTCACAGGGAATTTCTAGGTTTCGGGGACCAAACTCGAGGAGGTGACCGGGAAGTTGTCGTGCAAAGCGCTTGCGGCCTCACCTGGGCTCGGTCGGTGGGCTCAAACTCTCGGTCCGTGGTGTGCGAAGTCGAGCTGGGGTACTCTCTCGACACCACGCACAGGAACTCGGCGTGGTCGTCGTTCCCGTAGTTGTATGACGACCCAATGTTGATCAACTGCGGAAGAAGACACGAGAGTTTGCAAGACACGAGCGCAGCAGCCGTAAATATTGCAACGCGCATGACCAAGAAGGAACGCCTCTCCATACTTCTAGAAGATTCGAGTTTACTCTTGTCCCGAGTGTAAAAGATAAGGAGGCCAACGTGACCTCGCCGAGTCGGTCTTGTTCTAGCGCACTCCCGAACATTCTAGGTCGAATGTTTCAGTTACCGAGTGTAGCAGATAGGGAGCCCAGTGTGGCCTTGCCGACTCCCTTTCACTCGCATTCTTGCTCAAGCCAGCTGTCACTACGACGCTCAACGCTCACTTCTCCTTTCTCGACACTCTTTCTTTTCTTTGTTTCTGGCACAAGTTCGTCGATTAAACCTTTATTTTCAGTTTTTCTCCGGTCCATTTGTTTTTATCCGCGACAATATGATGGGATGAATCGATAGCACGTAGAAGACAAGGCCTTTCCCCACAAATGTCATCACTAGTGGATCCACACGGTGGTGCCTAGCTCTCGTCGGCATCACTGATATCGCGTCTTGCGGCGTCTCACAAGCGCGATGTTAGCACGTGGCAACGCCAAGACGGACGCGTCTGCTGTCTTGCGGCAGCATCTGTGGAGCTTCAGTGTGTTCGTTACTTAGGGTGGGTGAAAGATGACGATGATGTCATGCACAGACATCGTCTTCTAGGTTGTCTCGGATGTCTTTTCTTGCATTACGAATGCCCTATCATGTTTATGGTGCTTTTTTTTTGTCATTGCCAATGTAGCACCGAGTTTTTCAAAAAGTATCAGGAGACATCCCCTTAAGGCTAGTTCACACACTTGTGATTGCTCAGCATCAACCTCTTGAGACCCAATGGGAAAACACACTGGCACCATCTATCGGGTACTTTCGTATCTCTCCTTTTTCATCAGTTCGTTTTTTTGCTTTTTGACAATGTTATAAACTACCATTTCACATGATAGTACATAAATTTGATCTCGCAAAGCCTTCACTCTACCGAAATGCACTTCTAGGATAACCTCGAAGGTGGCGTCAGCATGCTTTCGTGTTGCAAGAGATCACAAGAGCTCGATTGTCAGTGAATGCAAGTGTATGAATGGGCCGCCCACACAAGCTACACCTACAAAACAGTAAATGTATTTCAGATGCCTCTGTATTCCGAATTAAATGCCTCTAGTATCCAACAAGTACCTTTACGGGACATTGCCTAGTGTATACCAAGGCCTGGCGAACTCTTGCTCCATTATATACCCAAACATTTATTTCCTTGCCCTTCCTCTCTCCTTCAAAGAATGCGCAATGACTATCTCCCGACAACCATTCGAGTCACTGCAGAAAAATGTCTGCGGGACATCCCAAGGACATCCAATGTCCAACAATTTTCAGACAACCACAGAATGCCCACACTGTCCCAAAAGGACAACGGAAGGACATCCCATTCGGACAATGTCTTGCAATATATTGTAGATTACACTTCCCGGATAACACGGATCATGTAAGGAATGTCCTGTAACATGTCATTATCCATACGAATACGGGTTTTAGACATTTCCCGGACGTTGTGCATTGCCAGGGCTGTGGAACGTTCCATCTGGAGGACAATCCACGATTCGCCATCAGCCCCACTTCCCAGGTAAGACACATCATGGAGGGAACGTCTGAAATGCGTCGTCATCCGTATGACTAAGTGTTTCGGACATTTCCCGGATGTTACGCTCTGCAAGGACAGTGGGACATCTCATTCAAATTAATTACTACGATTCATTGTATGTCACACTTCCAGAGTAACACAGATTGCATACAAAAAGCTTGCAACACTCATCATCCAAACAAATATGTGTTCCCAACGTTTTCTGGACCTTACGCATTGCCAGGACTGTCGGAATCCCAACTGGAGGACGTCCTATGGTTCATTGCAAGCCGCACTTCCCGGGTAATGCCCATTGTGCAGGGAACACCCGAAGTGTGTCGTTGTCTTTACGAATTCATGTTTCAGATGTTTTTCGGGCATTATGCATTGCCGGGGCTGCTGAAATATTATCTGGAGGATAACTTACGATTGACTGCAAGCCGGACTTCCCGATCAAGTAAAAAATGCCCGAAACGTGTCATCATCCGTATGAATATGTGTTTTCGACATTTTCCCGACATCACACATTGCCGAGACTGTTGTAATCACATCTGGAGGACGTCTTACGGTGCATCGCAAGCAACACATCCCGGGTAATGCACATTGTGTAGGAAATGCACGAAATGTGTCGTCGTCAATCCGAATACGCATTTAGAACGTTTTCCAGAAGCCACACTTCTCGGGTAATGCCTACCGTGTAGAGAACGCCTGAAACATGTTGTCGACCGTACAAAAACATGTTTCAAACGTTTTTTGGATGTTACGCATTGCCGGGAATGTTGAAATCTCACCTGGAGGACATCCTATGATTAATCGCTAGCCTCACTTCCCGAGTAATTCACATTGTATAAGGAATATCTGAAGTGTGTCATTGTCCTTACGAATTCATGTTTCTGACATTTTCCGGACGTTACACATTGTCGGGGCTGTTGGAATACCATCTGGAGGATGTCTTACGATTCATTGCAAGCCACACTTCCCGGGTAATGCGAATAGTGTAAGGAATGCACGAAATGTGTCGTCCTTTGTATGAATGCGTGTTTCTGAAATTTCCCAGATGCTAAAGATTGCTGGTACTGTTGGAATCGCATCTGGAGGATGTCCTTAGGTTAATCACGAGCAGCACTTCCTGGATAATGCACATTGTGTAAAGAATGAACAAAGCATGTCGTCGTTCGTACAAATATGCGTTTCTGACGATTTCCAGACCTTACGCACTGCCGGGACTCTTGGAACCCTATCTGGAGGATGGCCAAGTTTCGTCACAAGCCACACCTCCCGGGCGTTACACATTGCCCGGGCTGTTGGAATCCCATCTGGAGGACGTCCTACAGTTCATTGCAAGCCGCACTTTCCGGGTAATGCACACCGCGTATAAAATGCCCCAGATGTGTCGCCATTCGTACGATTACGTGTTTCGGACATTTCCCCGACGCTACCTGTTCGAAGCGCCACCCGTCGGACATGGTGGAGACCATCTGGGTGAGCTCGTCCTCGTGGCACTGGAGCACTCGGTAGACGTGCTTGCGGGCATCCCGGGAGCGGTGGTCCCGGTTGCGCTCCTGGATGTGCCGCTTCACCAGCTTGATCAGCTCCGTGATGTTGTAGAACTCAGCCTCCTCCAGAACCCCTGCGGTACGGAAGAAGGACATCAGTCCCACTCTGGCAATCCCGATGGTTCCGCTAAATCCAGTTCTTTTTTGACTGTCCAATACAAAGGGTTAAACCACCATAACCCAATTAAATGCTTTGGCACGACAGAACCACGGCTTCCTTTGTATGGGCCGGCGGTGTGACCAAGGTGGCACCGCTACGTATCAGATAGAGCAGGCAATTATCCGTCAAGCTGGATATTTGGTTAAACCGAAGGAAGCAAAGCTTCGAAAGCCGGTTATCTGCATTTTCGAGTATGAAAAACCGGTTAGCCAAACTGGTTATTCAGCTTTACCTCATGTATAACTATAATAACGCTTTTATTTTTATTTCATTGTCCCAGAATCACAAAGAAAGCATCATGTTCCTCTAGTAATTAGAAAGTAATAAACTTATTAAGTTCTGTACATATGCCTCTGAAACACTCTCAAATGCAGCCTCCTCGATCGCCAATCAAGGCACGTGTTGTAGCACTCATGGATGCATCCCGCATTCAGGAACCAAACCTGCTTTCCGCCACAAGGATGCACCTCCTTCCGACGGGCCCCGGGCAGAGGCCTTCGTGGCTTTAGGCCATGAAGCGAGTCGACTGGCAACCCAAAGACAACAGCCGAATGTGTTCCGCACATTTTATAAAGGGTGAGCCACGAAGTTTCTATCTATACCAAGCGGTGTTTCAAATGCGCCGTGGTGCGCAATCAGACCAACCTTGTAGGGTGCCCAAGCACATTAGTACCACACAAATACTGAAGAATAGAACTCGGGGTTTTAAACCAAATAACAGAAATACAAATTGGGCAGCTTTATTTACCAGACAGATGTTGAAAGATAGACACACAGGTTTCGACCCAAATACGACTGATACAAATTGCAGAGCTTTATTTACCTTCAAAATGTTTCATTCGAAGCATCGAGTGATTACCAAAGCATCACCGATACAAGTATAACTATCCTACATGCTTACCAGAAGCCAGACACACCCTAAGTATAAGCATCAAAACACATTTAAAGTACTTATTGTCCTTATCACCTAGCAGAGCCATCACTTTTATATCGAAGGCATGGGAGGGACAAGTTCAAGATAACTAACCTTGAAGTTGTGATTTTGGATACATATGAAGGAGGGGGACGTGTACCTTGTTGACAGGGGGCTTCTGCTGCCAAGAAATTTTTGCAGCAAAAGGTGCCCAGTTGCTACTACCTGTAGTCATAAAAGGGAAGAGGCAGCCTTTGGGTGCTGAACCGACTCCCTCCCGCAAACTGTCTCGTGGACATATTCATGTGGAACGGGCAGTAAGGCGGCTTAAAGTTTTCCGCATTTTTCAGACAGTGGGGCCGATTTCTTTTGCCAAAAAGTTTGAGGATGGTGATATGTGCACCACTGATAAGGCATTGATTGTTTGTGCTGCCTCGACAAATATGCAACCAGCTCTGCTCGAGAGATTCCCTGTAACATTTCAAGTTAAGCAGCAGTAATGGAACTTTTGTGTCCTAACGCATCCAGTCCTGTTGGTCGGCAGATGGCCGACACCCGTGTCGCGAGTGTAATTGAGGTAATTGAGATAAATAAAGGATAATTGAGAATGTAGCTAGTCCCTTACCAAAGAACGTTTCAGTTTGTTCCAGAAATTTTATTTCGTCATCTTGTTTGACTGGCATTGCTGTTCTTCATTTCTTTCTGCACGCAGTCTATGGAGGTCCTCCTCTGTCATGCTCAATTATGAGTAAACGACGTTAGGAATGAATGTTAAACAATTTATGTAAAAACACCGGCACAAGTGTGACACAAGCATACTCGCACACATTGCCACTGAGCCAGAGGTGTTTTTGTCACTGCGTAAGTGAAAGAATATAATTATTTTTGTTTTCCATAGCACTCAGTGGCTTAAAAGGAGTGAATTAGTTTATTTTGCTCGGCTTTCCGAAGCGTGTTGCCATGCCCCTTGTGTGCGCAAGAACATGGTTCTTTCTGCATGTGCATAGCATACAGAACATTAGAAAACAAGCTATATCAAAAGTAACAAACACCATATTTATAAAAAGGAGATCAAACTGTGAAAAAAGGGGGGAGGGGGGGGGGGGGTCGCATCAGCCCTAATGACGCCACTGCCCTGGCACAAGTCCCCTTAATTGCCTTTTGCCACAAAGAGTATAAATCTTGAACGAAATGTATCATCACAGCATCACAAACTTGAATGGAGGGAATGGTTTCTGCTACCATAACGCTGACAAACAGCGGGCCTACTCTTTATTTTGGCTCCTGGTTACACCCCTCTTCTTGACGCCTGCTCTCTTAGTTTAGCGAGTTTGATGTGAACAGCCACATCCCACGAGCTGCATCGCAAGTCAGATCCAGACTTGCACGTCTTACGAACACATATAGTGTTTGCATCCTCCACTTTTTTTCTTTTTTTTTTCAATAAATCTCTGCAGCGGATTTTTGTAAAGAAGCAAGTAATGAAGTAGAACTCTTCAGCCTTCTGACTGCCGTGTTCCACTAATGTTAATTAAATTGTACTTCTTCCACGTTCACACCTCTATTCGTGTACACTGCAAAGTAGACTTTGTTTGTGCCAGTGGCATCGGCATTTGAATCTTTGCATCCTGTGTGTGGCCCCCTCTAAGACGGGCATCCTCGAGGTATGGCTGCGTCAATTGCCTGGTTTGAGCACGAAGATGGGCACTCGATTTCCAAAACTGCATCTTAGGAACATCCACAAGACACCATGCTATCAGAGGAAGCACCTGCATGAGGCTTGACAGCATCCACAAACAAGCCGCACTCTTGACCTCCAAGCCCCTGCACTCAAGCGTTTCCCTCGCTTTCACTTCAATGTCCCCAGCTCACACTCGACACGTTTGGAGTGTGCGTGCAGCACTTTACTTCGGAGACAATCCCATCTGCTCCAGTGTGGCCTGAACGTACCAGACATTCATGAGAAGAGAGAACAGTGGTTTTTGCCCCACGTAAACAAACTATGCAGCTAAGCATCACTGAAAGCTTAAGCCCCATGAGAATGTAACGCCAGCGGTTGGAATGGAAAGCGAAAGTTTGAGGACATGACGTCACTTGAATCATAAGATAATTGAGAAAAACTAAATTTCTCTACGGCCCGACGTCCACCTAGGCCTAATTCCTGTGACATTTATGCATTGAAAACACTCATCAGCTAGAAAGAGAATATTGTATTCTTTCTCGCTGATAAGCTTTCTTCACTGAAATAATTCTTAATGGCACCCACAATGTAAATTCTAGTTTGGACAATATTAAAATTAAATAAACATCAAACCATAAAAAAAAAAAGATGATTATCTTGTGAAATATGTGAAGTCAGGTTCTCAAACTTTCGCGTTCCATCCCGACTGCCGGCGTCACATTCTCACGGAGTTCCAGCTTTCTGCGATGCATAGTTCATTTCCGCGGGCCGAAAAACGTGGTTCTCTTTTCTCAGGAACGCACAATATTTTCCCCACAATGGACGCTGTGATTCCGCCCCTCCTGCGTCTAAACCATTCGTCCGAACGGGGGGCGCTTTGTCCAGTTTGTTTTCTACAAAGCTCAGTGTTTACCCGACACAAGGGCCCTGGACAGGAAGAGTTTGACATCTGCATCGATCGAGCCCAGGGCATAGAATTGACACGAGTGCTGCACCAGTGTTCGATTGGTGCTTCGCCAATTGAACACGAGTTCGAGCCAAACGTGCAAGCAGCATTTGGTTATGTCGGTCAAGTGCTACGTTACAAACACAAAGAAAACATTTATGTTGTTGTTCTCCGCACGGGTGTAGTTCTCAACTTAGCCACTAGGGATGCAACGGTTGAATGGATGGATGAACTCTCGAAATCCCCCTTAATTTTCAAGACATGCAAGCGACAGAAGTGAAACCGCTGGGCAAAAGGCTGCAGGGGCGAACATTTATTTTGGCCGAGCAATCTCGATTCCGGTACAGAATAATGTATATGGATATTCAAATATCCAGATATTTATATAACCGAGCAACGTAACCGGTTATTCGAGTATCCGGTTATCTGGTTTCCAAATTCGAATAATTTGCTATTTCGAATAACCGGACAACCGATTATCTCAAAGACCAATCTGTACTGCTGCCAATGGTACCATCAACTGGGAACCAGAACCACAAGAGTTACCCTTGAAAGGGTAGTTATTTTGTAGTCGTACGAGCCGACAGGTAATTAGGACATAAACACTGCAAACGATTTCATTTTACGGGGTTCATATCTAGTTCATTTTGAAGAGTGCCGGTTTCAAGGATGTTTTGGTATTAGAATTGGTTTACCATTAGTGTACTGAATATTTTTTTATTTTTTTTTTATTGCAACAGACATTGAAGTGTGGTGCTTGCAGAATGCTTCTCTTCTACTTGACTTTCATAGAGTGCTCAAAACAACAGAGTGTCAGGCAAGACAAACAAACCATAACCACACAAATAGGCTGTGCTCTGCAAAAACTTCGAACATAGCTAGAATGTGAGCCAGCAGTCGAAAAAAGGTGCCGGAATTGCAAAGCTTACAGCTGCCGGAGGCGAAAGTTGAAAGCAAAAAGCTGATTTTGCTTACGAGAGGACACCGCCAAGCAGCAGACGAACACTGAGTGTGCCCATTATCCGCCGCAGCCCTCAGATGGTGCCATCGCCGATAACAGGCAGATGCGGACACAGAAACAAACGTCTACTTCTGTGTCCATATCCGTTGGTTAGTGCCCGCAAAAACCGGGCGTCCTCCTCTGAAGAGATTCGGGCAATACGGCAGAGCAAAACAGGAAAAGTCCATCTCAAATGCAATGGCAGTGTCCCTGCCGTGAAGACCCTTCTGTGCCTTCCCACTCCCTCAGTACTCACTACAGAATAACACACCTTTGTCACTCCAATAAGTTTTTTTGTCACCACTCTCAACTAAGATAGCACTTAGATCCCCATTGTTCACCCTGACGACATTTTAGCACCCTTAGTGTATGTTGCGTCCCTGGTTCCCACTGTAACTTTTCACAACTTATTGCTTCCTCTTACCATACAGAATGAAATGACCCGCCAAATGACACTGAATTGATCAGTGACCACAATATTTTAGAAATGTTGTATCACCTCATACTGTTTTGTATTCAGTCACGTTCTCAAACATGGCCGCCGCTTGGTGTACATCCAGAATACTTTTTTTTTACTCTTTTACCTTTTTTGTTTTTCTCTGTACTGTATGCCAATGTTCCAAACAAATATTTTTTTCTTATATAGCCCCTTCCGGGGCCCTTAAAGGCCGACCTGCAGAATAGACTTCTGCCGGGCAGAAAATCGGTTCCCAGTTTCCTCCTCTCCATTCCCTCTCGCACTCCTCCCGCAGGAGCGGGTTCTCAGCTACTCCCCGCAGAAAGGGTCTCCCTCTTTCCCCAATGTGGATTTGAAGGAGAGTTTCCTCCTTTCTGGCTGCTCGTTAGCCTTTCAGGAACAATAAATGAATGAATGAATTGACTAATTAATGAAGCGGTAAGAGGGAGGGGGGGTGCTTACCCTCCTCGGCGAGGTCCTTGTTGATGACCAGCTTGCCATGTCGCAGGTAGTTGAGCACGGGCCCAAAGTAGGTCGGGTCCCTGTCTATTAAGTACGCCCCGCTCTCGTCCTGCGTGCAGACAACAAAAGCGCACCGTTTGCAACGATATTTCATTCATCGTAACGTGCAGCAAGCCCTTTCAGTGTTCACAAACACAACAGCTTCCTCAGCACTTTTCGGTCACTCCGTTTCGGCAGAGCTCCCAAGACTGCTTATGTCACAATTTCCAAGGACACTCAAGTGCTATAGAGACAGCGAAGATGGAGATTTAGCAAGATCCTTATGCCACACTTTCCAACATATAACAAGAGATGGTCGTTGGGAGCATTAAGAAATTTTCAACAAATCTCTCGCTAGCCGATCCTTTGGTTAGGCAATTGGACAACTCGAGATGAAATCTTTCACAGAAGCTGCAAGAAGTGGTGTTATTTTTCCTCCTATTTGACCGAAAATTTGCGGGGATGCAAAATGCAACATCGCCCTCCTGAGGCACTCTTACGGAAATGGCCTATATGAAGTACAAGTACCCTGTGGCAACTGCTTCTGCCAAAGCTGAGAGCTAGCGGCCCGGTTATGAGTGCCCAGACCAGTCGGACAAGGTTCAATGGAAAGTCGGTGGTTCCAATTTATATCTACGCCAAAGGAAAAGTTTTTGGAGCTGTGATTCCAAACAGAAGACTGGCACCTTCATCTATTAGGACTCATTGGTCTCAACTTTCTGGGCTTCTTTTGTGTTTGAAGCACTCTGTAACAGCTGCTGACAGTTCACTATGAGACTTCGCTCTTCCAGAGAGCAACTGCAAGGAGTCTTAGCAGTACTACTATTAGAAAAAAGCTGAGCCCTAATGTTTTGTATATCAGATAGAAGTTAACAGTGGGTATTGAAAACACTGGCTAGGTGATGCAAGTCAACACCTAAGCTGAACGGTTCAGCCATATGCGTCCATCCATACGACAAAATGCTGGTCGTCGCCTCGAGGCTATCCAGGGGGCCTGACTTTAAGTTTGTACGAAAATGTAAAGAAGGATTAGGTCAACTGACTGCAAGTTTAAACAATGGCAGTGCTGCATAGATCCGAACAAGCCCTCAGTATATTCCCTTTCTCTCAAACGAAGCAATGACATTCACGTACCGTCACACAAAAAGCACCTTTTTCATAGCCACAGTACGCTACTACTTAGCAGGCAGACAACTGGCTGCTATGTAAGGCGCGAGGCAAACAGCTTGAAAAGGCCGAAAACCATAGTACGCAATGTACAAGCTTGATACGAGTGCTGCCGACAGTGACACCCGACGTTCCGACAACGTCTAGCTGCGTCTCAAACCACCCACACACCCCCCGAAATGTGCGTCTTCTGCTTAGTTCCAAGCTTCGCATGGGATCCACGGGAATCTTGCAGACGTAAGTATAGTCGTCTGCTCATGGAGGCGACATGAACCTACGTTTACCTCGAATCAACCTTGGCCGGTAGCCAGCAAGAAGCAGGCAAGAGCAGTGAAATACTTCCTAGGACGCAGCTTTCTGGTGACTCTACCACTCAAATTAGCATAAAGCATTTGAGCTAGAAAGACAGAAAGCAAGTACAGCCATGCGCAGCTTTCGACGCTTGAACGCCCCGAGTGCTCGGCCCGGAAATGCGAGCGTAAACACTAGAAACTAACTGAAAAAATAAAACAAAAAAGTTATGTCGTTCACGTGACCGAAACCCGTCGAAAGGAAGTGCTGCTAATCGAATAAGCCGCGCCCACGATGCCTTCCCGTCACATGTGGGGGCGTCCGGTGCAGCTAAGCTGGCCTCTCCCAAAAGCCCTTGTTTACTACCACGTCCACTGCCTTCGCAAGTGTACAAGCATTACACCATATACTAGTATTAATTTCGCGCTAGTTCCACTTATTCCTGCCTATTTGTGCGCGGCCACCCAAACGAGCGCAACCGACACTGACGTTCGCTCGAACCAAAACATCCTGCGCTGCTTCATCCGTTTCTTTCGGCTGTTGCTTTGTTTAAGCGTAATGCATTTAGTGAACCGAGAGAATTGCACTCAAACATGTTATATTTTGTTAGGGAAGCGAGTTTGGGCGTAACTTTATATTATTATTTTTTTCTTTTTCTATGCCTCGTGTGCTAAACTTTTCGGTCATAAGCAGAGTTATGAAACACTAGCCTAAGGATAGCCTAACCGAGTGCGAGCTAATGCAAAGAACGCAGTAGTGATTCGTGCAGTGTTCGCCAAAGCCCGCTTCCCGAACGACGACTCTCGCTGACGAACATCACATCACATCTTCCGTGGTCGGGAGGGTTCTTGCTTTACCTGTTTCAAGTTGTGACCGAGTCTGCCAAGACACGAACGGGTGTTTCAAACGCGAACGCGATCATTAAATCTGCCCAGAAACCGCGCACGAAAAGAAAAGTTGAGTCGGTGAGCGAACCCACCTTGTCAGAATGGAGTTCGGGGTCTTCTTGACATAGCCGGTACAGAAAGGACTTTGGATCTCGGCAGAGCGTCGTCCGGGTCGTGAGAAAGCAAGTGCCGCCGACATTGAGCTTGACCCACTGCGTATTTCGGGAGGATTTCGACGCCGTTTCCTGGCTCTGATCGGATGGGACTTCGCCGTCGACCGATGCCCCAACCCGGTCGGCCATCTTTGAAAAGGTCGCTTCGATTCCCCGCGCTTCGCGTTTCTTTCCACAGGCGGCGCCACAGCAGCGCAAAGTGCATTCGATTAGTACTAGCTCAAATGGACGTTGTTGATACAATTTAACTCTACGTAGACGAGAATACTAATGTGACGTCATATATGGTTTTGATAAACATTGATAAGGTACTTCAACGGGCTGCTTCAAAATTAAAATGAAATGTGCGTTTTATTTAAGCAATAAAAACTTTTAATAGTGATGAATATTGCATTCTTTCTTAAGTTTATGAAAACAAATATTGTGTAGCCAGCTGGGTGAACCAGGGTGAACACACAACCAAAATCAAACTTCATGCATATTCATGTTATTATTAAATTGTATTTGTTACACATAAATGTTTCATAAGGTTTCAACGTTTAAACTTCTCATAACCTCGTCAACGTTTCCAACGCAGTCTACAGAACAGAGGCGTCTGCTGTCGAGAGTAGATCGGTCACCTTTCTCGGGGAAAGATGGCTGCGAAGAGGATCGCAAAGTCCGCTTTCAACTGGACCGCCCTCGCTGAAAGGGTCCCAGAAGAGCAACAGCACCTGTACCAAGCTTTCAAAGCCAAATCTGATGGATACCTACGAAAGTAAGCAAACTCGGAGTTCTTGCACAGAGTTTACAACGTGCAAGCGGTCAGCCAGGCCCGGCGGGGATGGTGTGGTCGTCGGCTTAACATAGTACCTTGATCCGTGTTGTCCGAATACCTCTTCAAATTGTGCTCGCATAACCTAGTTTTGATGGGCAGTTTGTTTCTCCCCGTTCCTTTAGGGTCTTCAGCTACCCGGAGAACCCGCCGCCGATCGATTTCGCCATGTACAGGTCCCGTCTTTCCAACCCGGCCCTAGTCGACCAGTTCGAGAAATCGGTGAGTTTGAAAAACGGATGCCCGTTCGATGCGAATAACTTTCGTCCCCGAGCACCACAGGCTTGGGCTGTCTATTCCGCTTTCTTAGTTCTGCAAACCAGTCAATTGCTCAATTGACGTTTCCCCCGGTCCTGATCAAGGTCGTGTGATGGTTATAAGTTACTGGAACTGTAAATTTTCGTGCAATGTTGCAGAAATTTTGAAGTAAGTAGTTCGAAAAAAACAAAAAAACAACACTAATCTGACTTAAAACAATTGAAATAACCAATTTGACCAAAATTTATTCTAAAAAAAAAAGATCCATTCGTGGATTCTTAGGGAGTGTGTTAGCATGACCCTTGGAAATGCCACACACGACCCCTTTGGGAAACGCTACCGCTGACCCCTTGACTTTTCTCTCTTGGCTTTTTTCTTCTGCTTCCTCTATTTTTTGCCACCTCTTTTTGGCCTCGTTGCGGGGGTCAGCATTAGCGTTTCCCAAATGGGGATGTGTGTGGCATTTCCCAAAAGTCGTGCTAACAGATTCCCTAAGAATCCACCAGTGGATCTTCCTGTAATTTGTTCACCCCTTTTCTGTACTCTGCCAGTCTGAGTACGTCGACGCCCTTGGGTACGGTCATCCATATCGCTTGTGGAAAGAACCACATCGATACCACTCGTGGAGGGAACCACATCCATCATTTTAACTACACGCGCTGATCACAGCCCAGGCACCGCTGTTGCGGAAACCCAGAGTGAAGAACTGGTGATGGCAGAGCGGCAACTGACCACTCCCGCATTCCACCGCGCCGCGGCGCCACACCTCTTGGATAACAAGGCCGCAGTGCTGAATGAGATGGCGTGATCAGTGAAGGCCAACACTGGGCACAGATTGGACACAACGATTACGTCAACTTTCGGCTCAAACTTGACGCAAAGCCAAGCGCTGATGCAGCACTCATTTCCAATCTGCGTTCAGCGTTGGCCTTCTCTGATGACACCATCTCATTGAGCACTAGGGCTTTGTTATCTAGGAGGTGTTACGCGGTGCCGCCTCTTCTCTGGCTCCGCGACAGGTGTGCGCATGACTTACGAAAACTAAAGGACTCGTTTTTGTCAGTGTTTAACGTTGGCGGTGTCTGTAAGCTTGTCAGCAGAGGGGAAAGAGGGAGAGGTTGATCCGTGCTGACGTCAGCAATTTGGACCAATAAGAACGTCGTACACATCAACTTTCCTTCCCATTCTCCTTCTCCCCCTTCACTGACAAAAAGACATTGCCAGGTTTTTGTCAAAACAAGCGTTCTATTGCTAACGCATGAAAACAAAATGTGCCACTTGTGATTTGCTACGAGGTAGCACTATAAACGGGCTTGAGTGTGCTTGATGCACATCCCTATTGTGCCTTTTGAGGTGTGCACATCAGCTTCTTGTTCATAGCCCAGGGAGTGCACGAGCCACAGTCATGTTCCGAATTCTGAGTGGTCGTGTCTTGAGCACAGTCACCAATACAAGTTTTGAACAGCGGCTTTGACGATGGCAGCTGGCAACTCGCAAGCCTTTTTCTCTCGCTGTGCACACATTTCTGTTCGAGCTTGACGAAGGAAAGCTTGAGAAAAGCATTTACTGCAGCCTTTGATTGGTCAGTTCAGTGTGTGAGCTCTAATTTTTTTAGTCTATGGTGTCCCAACCAGAAAGAACAGTGTGACGGTGCTTTTCTCGTTTTGATTTGCTCGGAGTGGCTGGCTCTAGGCCAAGTACAATGGCATATTCTGATCTCCTTCGACCCTGACTGCTGGTCGAGTGATACTGTTGCAGATGTTATTCGTTCGCTTTATGAATATTGCTGATCTCTCTTCCTGCAGTACAAGAGCTTTACAGTGCCATTCCCGAAAGAGCACCTCACTCCCCAGATCGATGCTGAGGAGAGGCAAGCTGTAAGCACCCTTTACTTTTTTCTTTTTTTTTATGTCATTGGGGTAGATTGGTTGTTCATGTTTCAGTGCATACTGACCTTTTGTTCTTCCCACCACCGACTTTTCAGAAAGACGAGGTGGAAGGCTTTATCCGGGAATCGAAGGAACGGATTGAAGGGTTCAAGCAAGAGGTAAGATCTCCTTTGTGCAACGGTTCCTTCCGCACCTTTGCAGGGTAGAGCAGCTCTCGGAGTTGGGTCTTTGTTCAAGAGGTGCAAACTGGGGTTACCAGGGAAGCAGAAAATCAAAATGTTTGTGAAAAAAAAAAAAAATGTGGGCTTTCTGGCATACATTTGGGAGTTAATTCTAACATCCCTTTGGAAGCATTTGGTACGTCGCCAGTTTTGGCAGCGGGCCGAGGATTGTACGGATCCCAGTGGAGGCCAGAGAATGACACTTATTGTCACACAGATCATAATCATAGCTCGGTTAATAGACCGATAATGGAAGAATGATGCATAAAATATGTGCGGAGCAAAAGTGTTTGCACTCTGGCGGAAATGTCTGAAGCTGCCTTAAAGATGACAACTGAAGTCCAACCTCCTTTAAAGCGTGAAGTGCTTTGTAACGAACCCCCCCCCCCCCCCTCTCAAATCGGAAATATATCCGTCCGTCCGGGCATTTCCCACCAAATTTAGCGGGGCAAATTGATGTCGCTCGACTTATTCACCAATTAAATTTCCCAGCTAAATGTAGCGGGAAAACTGATGCCATCTGCGTGATTTACGCACCGATTCAGGTTCACAAATAAATTTAGCGGCAAAATTGGCATCACGGGACCCATACACCTGTTCAGTTTCTCCACTAAAATATGGCGGGCAAATTGATGTCACGTGATATCACTTTCCCCCCAAGTCAATAAAATAGGTTCTTTCCTCCCAAAAACGACTGCTTGACGTCTTTCTTGTTGCTTAAGAAATTTAAAAGATGGCAACCTAAAGTTTCGCTGGACCTTTTTTTCCCTCGTTTTTGTGCAGCTGCTGAAGTTCCAGGCAATGATTCCGGCGGCCCACATGACCTTGGAGGACTACGCTGACTACTTCCCGGAGCATGCGCTGAATGTGGACAAGCCGACGTACTGGCCGCACGACGGAGTCTTCGAGGAGTACGATAAGCTGCCCGACGAGCCGGGCCACCACTAGGCAGAGACATCTTAGTCCTGGCAGACGATGCCCCCTCCGCGCGTCTGCAAAGCTGAGAAATAAAAAGTGTAGTTCTTTGTTTGGGATTGACCTTCTAGTGTGCGTGTCCACTCAAGATCTGGAAAAAGTATGCAATTGTAGCAGACGTCGCGCAGTGCACATGTTGTTCGGGGCAGCGTGCTCGCGCCTGTAGGTTAGGTTGCGCTCGGACATATGCCCACATGCCACTGCCGGTTTTGGAGGGAGGGGGTGCGATCTTAACATAAAAATGTTGATGCCGAGTATAAATTAAGCTACTCCAATGACAACATTTGGTACCCGATATCACGACAGCACACGCGATAGTTCTCAAGCTCGAAACGTGCATGCTACTTCTAGTGTGCCAGTTTGGATCTTTTTGTGTCGTGCTTTTTCATTTTTTTAACAAGTACATCTACATCGACAGGCTCGTCTAAATTTCAATGCAGAGACTAGTGTTTTGCACGAGTGATCGCGCACAGAAACCGCTTTTGGAAACCATGCATCCGCATCTTCGCTAGCTCCGCAGCCAACAAGCACGCCGCGGCGTTTTCGACGCAACATCACCTCTTTAAAATCTCGGCCCCACGGGCACTAAAAAACGGGGGATTTTGAGTTTGATCTGACAACGCCGGTTTGGTGTTCGTTTCGACCCAAGAGCTCCGGAAGTGTGCAGGGCCTGTTTCCTAGGATATATTTTTGCATCATTATTTTATGTACTTTGTGCTTCAATCACACTGAAAAAAAAAAAAAAAGCTAAAAATTTATATTCTCGATAAATCCAAAACCAGTATAGATAGTGTGGCCTTTTGAAACGTGAGACGATGCAGGGACGCATTACAACATTTATTAGGGTTGGCCACTGCCAACAAGCCCGAAGGCCCTGCATTGCCTTTACAGCTGTACACTACACCGCAGACAGTAGCACCGGTTCTTCGCAGGTTACCGCAGCGCAAGACCTGCAATGTATGAAAATGAGTGTACAGTGCAGTCAAATAAAATTGCAAATCAAGCAAAAAGGGGAAGTAGTTGTATCGCGCTCATGTGACGGTGAGATAGGTACTCTGTAGTCATTCTGTTAAAAGGTGTTTAAAACAGGCCAGCCTAAATAACCTTGTGGTGACTATAGTTTATATCTCGACTGCTTCTATAATCGGTGACAGATTAAGAACCGAAGGCGAGCACTAGAAAAGCTGGAGAAGCGAAGCCTGTTCAGCCTTTCTAGTACTCATCATTTCTCCCTTTGCTCTAGGTTCTTAACTTCTTACCAACTATAGACCTTTGCAAAATGAGCTCTCTGGCCGCCACCATTTTGCAAATCGAGCGACCCCCATCGGCCAGAATCTCTGCCACCTGCCCGAGCTGAGGAAACCCGGTCAGCGTGACTCCCCACCTGCGTTGTGCATTCAGAGTTCGCCGGCTTTTCTTGGAAGTTTTTACTTTATTTCCCTATTCAGGATGTTTACCTTTTGTGTGTATTTTCCACCGTGAGAACCAGGGAATACCAGGACTCGTAGCCTGCTCAGCCTTCGCAGGAAATGAACGAAGAGAGTGAACGTCAAGCAGCCTGCAACGCAGGCAGTTCGACGTTCTTGGAGGATTATTTCCGTTGAGATTGTCTCCAAAAAGCCTTCCCGGCTATGTTCCCGGTCTTTGCGAAAAATAGCCGATAGGGTCGGGTCCGGGGTGTGGGAACAGAATAGACACGTTCGTTCATTTTCTTTGAAGCTGCGCAAAAGGGCAGCTTTCTTCTACATCTGCCCCAAAACACGCCGGATTCCGTCCGATCATCGTTAAGTGACTATCGTTGACACTGTATATTGAATATGCTGTGTTATTTGAGACCTTTCTCAAATCCTGTTCGGATAACGCGGCACCATGGGGTACGTACAATACATGTTGTTCAAATGATGAGACTCGTTTAATTCCATGTCGTGGGCGGGGAATATCCATGCAGTTCGAATATCCTGTGTGGTCAAATATTTTCGATGGTTAAAACCTTTCTATATTGACACGGCTGAGTGTATCTTGCCGGAAAAAGATCAACATAAAATGAGACAAACATTCCGGTTGCATTTGTTCTGTCGTGCACGAACTCAGCAAAACGGCTTTCATTTTTTGTTCCCAAAAATAGTACAATGCATTCTTAAAAACCCCGAGAAATTATATTCGCCATAGAGCATGATATAAAAATAGCGGCAATTTAGCCTCTATTAGCGTCCGGAAGTGCGCCTACGCAGGCTGCCACAGCCCAGTGCAGTCGGGCAACACTGACATACTTTCTCAAAACCAGGGACGCGGGCTGCAAATCGCTTCGTTCGAGACTGCCGCTGGAAAGGTCTATAGTATAGGGTGTCCCAAGTCGCTAGGCTCAATCTAAAATGGACCATAAAAATTGACGCCTGCACGTAGCATAGCAATTTAAACTTTTCGTCACAAATGTATTTCACAGGTCAGTTTTTTCTTGTAAAATTATAAAGTGCAGCTCCCTTTCTCTAAAAAAAAAATAGGGCCCAGAAACTTGCCAGGGTCAACGGCGGGCGGCGACGCAGACGACCAAGTCGAGTGGCCGGGCACGCTTGGTATTTGTATTGATAGATGGCGCTACCTTCTTATCAAGACTGCTCGCGACCGCCGTGGTTGATTAAAAATGAATATAATCTATTTGTAATGTACCATTAGTTAAAAAATAAATGTGGACAATTGAAGCATAACTTAAAGTAAAAAAAATGTGTCTGCATAACGACGGCGCTTTTGCTGCAAACGGATTTCGTCTGCGTGTCGTCTGCTTTCTTTCACTGGTCAACTGCACCTTCCGACGGTGCTCCCAAAGCCATCTATCAATACGAACGCCAAACGCGCCCCACAACTCGACTCGGTCATCCGCGTCGCTGTTGACCCTGGCAAGGTTTTTGGCTTTATTTTCTACAGAAAGGGAGCTACGCTTTGTAGTTTTACAAGAAAAAACCGACCTGTGAAATACACCTTTGACGAAAAGTTTAGAACACCACGTGCAGGCATCGATTTTTACGGTCCATTTTAGATCGAGCCTGGTGACTTGGGACACCCTATATAATAATATAATTTGAAAGGAACATGTTCATCCTTGCTAAAAGAAAACTGCATAGGTAATTAAGGGCGCACAACTTTCCTAGGATTTAGTGGGCTACAGTTAGGACAGCATGAAATATAAACTGCACACTAAAGAACAGTACCAGGCAAAATGGCAAGTTAATGAAGATGCCCTCACCAGTGAAACCACTCTAAACATTGCTCACACCAGGCCATCTTCAGTTCTCCATCATCTTTTTCCTTGCAAAGACAGTTCCTTGTTCTTCTTTGCAGCAACTGTGAGAAGAACAATTGCTGTTCAAAGCTCAAGCAGAACACAAAAGTATGACACCATAGAAAAAATTATGACAATGCATACCTGAGGAAATCAAGAGGGACCGTGGATTCGGGGTAGAGTATTTCTTTAGCCTCGGTAGGGAAACCCTGCACTCTAGCAGAGCACTGGGCAAGGCTTCTGGGCAAACTTCCACATCAGACTCCTCCATTACTTGTTGACAGAAGCCCTCGTCAATAAAGCCAGTCAAGAGCACTGGAAAGATAAAATGCAAAACAGTTAAGAAAAGATGAATACCACAGAGTGGCTTTTTCTTTTTACATTTTGCTTGCGCCTCTTCAGGCAGATGCTTAATTGCCACACGCCCGTCCTCATAAAGTTTCCTTGCTCGCTTCAGTCGGATCTGTGGCACTGTCTTCGATGGACGTCCTCGGCTCTTCATGTCGGAAAGTCTGATCTGATAAGTGGCAGTGCACCCTCGGCTAGCACTGCTTGGTGTGTCACTATCTGGAACAGGTAAATTGCTGCTGCTGCTAGCACACCCAGTGGCCACGCTGACTTGACCCCGGTCAGTTTCCTGCTGTTGATTGATTTGAGACACAATGGCTGGACAAACATCTTGTATAGTGACATTTTCAGCTACGTCAACATCTTCATATCCTTCTTGGGAAACGCTTTGCGTTACATCCTCTCTCCTCAACCAAGAGGCATTCACAGACTCGAGGAACGCTAGGCGTGTTGCAAAGACGTCTGGCTGGCAGTCAGCCAAGTTGTCTGCAACAGCTCTAAGTGTTTGCATTGCGTAGTCGTATCGCTGGTTCCGGTCCATCTTGTCAAAGGAGGGCCCTGGCATAGATAGTACGCTTGGTTCTTCGGAACTGCCAGCTTCAGGGTTGCATTCCGAAGAATTGCTGAGGTTGTGAACAGCCTTTTCAAGGAATGGGTTTCTGCCGTTATGAGTCAGATTGTAGAGGTCTTTTGCAATCACTGCTTTTCCTGCACATACAAACAACGAAGAGAATGACGATCAGGCCTACAAGAATATCTACTCTCACCTACCACTTTGTTCTCTGAGCTTCTCCACGATGAGACTGGGCCGCACATTCAGCTCCCTTAGCGACTTGACAAAGTTTATCTCTTCGGTATTCAGCTGACGGCACTCGGGGTAGGTCCTGAAGATCTCGGGGCTCACTTCGTGGTTGTGTTCTACTTTCAGCACCGTGATCTCCAGCCGTTGGCAGGCACGTCGCGCCGCAAGGACAACTTTTGCTGGGCAGTCGTTTTTCCTTGTACTAAACAGAAAATACAACTGCGTGTGAGCCCGTCCCCGCCAGTACATCGGGATCCAATAGAGCGGCCCTGCAGAAAGACCCAGGGCACGCGTTATGAGATCTTACCTTTGGTGCGGACGAATTCCTCTCCCCGTGGTTCTTATGGCACCACCGTGCTTGCACACGTATGTTACGTTGGCGAACTTCAGTTTCACATCAAACGGGGTCTGGCCAGCACAAAGGCGCGCGTTCGCCGCGCCAACAGTCTTACTTACTTTTGTGACGAAAAGAGTGTTCGTCGTCACCTGAAAGACTCTGAACTCTTGTTCGAATTCCGCGAAGCTGTTGAACTTGGCACCGACATGGATCGCCATAGCCGACGGGTTCACGCGGAGTGGTGCTGGCATCACACGCACACGCTCGGTCTCGGGATGAATCGCCATAGTGTCATAGTCGGCGCGTTCACACCTTCACACTGAGTGGTGACTGACACAGTTGATCGTAACACACAGACGCACAGGAAGCATAGGCCACAGGTAGGCGCATACACGCGTGCCGTCCATCGCAGTGCCGTCCACTGTGGTCGTAACCCTGGTAACCCTGGGTAACGGGGTAACTGTGTAACGGTTTTAGGCGTTTTAGGCGTTTTAGGTCAAGCATTCTTTTATTCATTCCCAAAAAAAGGGGGGTCTCTTATATTTTTAAAAATTAGCATCACTGGTGCAATAACTTTGTTTTATAATGATTACTTTTACATGGCTACTGTAACAAGAAATCAGAAACATAAAAAGTGTTTAGTTCGCAATATGTGGTGAGGGGCGCTGCCTAACGCCCGATTACTGGAAGTCGCCTTGTGTGGGACCACTGTATGCTTTGGTATGCTTATTCACTGCAGAGCAGAGACGGCTCTGCTGCAGACCAGAGTGGTGCCGTCCACCCATAGAGTTATTATAATTTTGATTATGATTAGGGGTGTCGCGAACTTTTGTCGAACCAGATTTTTTGGTCGAACTTCCGGGGTTCGACTGAGTCGAACCGGTTCGACGAACCTTCGAACTTTTCACCAGATTCGACCGGTTCGACTTTATGGACAGTGTGGCCAGACCTTAATACAATCATGTCTAGGTTTGGAGAATTTTTTTTTTTATGCAAGAGGTTATTTTTGTTTTTTGAACAGCTGCAATTAAAAGAAACTAATTCTAATCACTGAATAAGTTAATAACTTAATGTTTAGTACTGTATTGACTAAAATAGACAATCAGCGCTGCACTTAATTCATATTTTAGCCATTACCATCCAATCCGAGGCCAACTGGTTAGCCTGTCGCGCATGCGCACACGAGTCGAACCTCAATACAAGGTTCGTCGAACTTTCCACTAAAAGGTCGAAAAAGTTGAACCTGGTCGAACTCGAACCGCGGCCGGTTCGCGACACCCCTAATTATGATGTACGCTAGAGGTTCAACTGGCGCTACCAAGGGCGCTACACTCCGCGACAACTTTTCTTGGCAATGCTGTGGAAGGTAGAGGCCCGAGTCCCCTCTCCCATTTTGAGTGTACGCAGGCTCTCCTCCTCCCCCATTTCCGAGGAGAGGAGGAGAGCCCGCGCACACTCAAAATGGGAGAGGGGACGCGGGCCTCTACCTTCCACTGCATTGCCAAGAAAAGTTGTCGCGGAGTATAGTGTCTATGCGACTTCAGGGAGGCAATGAAGCAGACAGCAACCAGTCGACATCTTGTAAACCCTGAGATGGGAACGATAAAAAAACGGACGAACACAGGAAGCATAGGCGCATACACGCGTCCGTTTTTTTACCGTTTTTTTTTTGTTTTTTTTTTTTTTTTTTTTTTTATCGTTCCCCATTTTAGGGATTACAAGATGTCGATTAATTACCAGCTCGCCTGCACTCTCTCACTGCTAGCAACCAGTCTACTTTTGCTACTTTTGCGGTGCTCCTGTGCATTCCTATGGGAAAACGCGCGTGCATTTTGTCTCTTCGCCGGAAAATAACACGAATAACTTTCATTATTTCGGTTGTACCGGATATTATGTACATTTATTAATATTGTAAAAGTGTAATTAATTTAATTACATCATTTTTTCTTTACCACTGAACGATGTTAAGCTTCGCTATATTTCAGGCCAAAACCTATGTTCCATGGCGGGTATGTAAAAACGAGCGACGATTTGCAGTGAAAAACGTGGAAAACCAAGAGACACGGCAAGAACTACGCAGTAACACTGGATAAGTAACTCCTTGTGCATGCAGGCGATCAAAAAAAATTGGAAGCCAAGTAATATAGTCCGACTTGCAATAAATAAGTACTGCTTTATTCTTTCTGCTCATGAATATGTGCAAAGATGCATGTTCTGGGTTCAAATCATCAACCGCACGCTCTAAATATTTGCAAATAGGGAAAAGTCAGAGAACAGGTGTCCGATAAAGACTGCCCGGCATAGGAGATAATAAAAAGGCACACCTTTCGCAGTCCACGTACTTTATTTCTTACATTCAAATGTTTTTTAACCGTCGTAAAGATGCACGACGGAGTCATTTTCATAGAGTGACCGGACGGGCATATTAGCAATATATAAGCGCCACCGCATTGCGTGTACGAAATAAACTTTGCAGCTGAGTTTGAGACGTTGCCTCCTCTTTTTCTACCTTCTGTTGTGTTCTCTTTTCTGCCCCAGTCCCAGGTTTACAATCACCTTCGAGGTACTCGTACATATATATATAAATAAATAAATAATGTATGCACGCTATTTCTTAGTTACCTTTTCCCCATTGAGTGAAAACATCGTGATTTTCCGAAAAGCTCAGATTGCAGGTGGCTCCGAAATGGCACTTGGTTTCGGTTTCGGTTTCGCCAAATTTCGAACGTATACCTTTTTTTTTTTTTTTTTTTTTTTGTCATTGATTTTGTTGTTTTGGCACCGCAGCCCTACACTTACGCGCAGTCTCAAAGGGGCCCTGCAAAGCGTTTCTGGCCATTTTTCTTAATTTGCATCGCGTTTGCTCGAACTAGTGTTTGGGACTCTATAGCGACACATTAGAGATATAATAAAGAAGAAATGTGATGCGTTTTCAACGTGTTCAATTAGAAACTTGCTCAGCGTCATCGAAAACCACTAAATCAGTCATTTCCAGAAAGACTTTGAGCGCGTGAGAAGCCTAGTAGTGGACTAAAGTTACCACTCGTGGAGCAGGTACTCGTACAAACCTAGCGGTTTTGATAAGGAGTCCGCGCGATTTTTCCGCCTCTTATCTAGCCCCAGCCTTGTACCTGCTCCACGAGTGGTAACTTTAGTACAATACTACGCTTCTCATTCGCCGAAAGTCTTTCTGAAAATGACTGATTTAGTGGTTTTCGATGACGTTGAGCAAGTTTCTAATTGGAACCATATGTCTATTTTCATTAATTAAAAAGTTAATTAACGAATTTTAATTAATTAGACGACTGATCGTTACGATTTGCCCCCTATAATATGTTCCCCTGGCCGTATAACTCACCTGCGCAAGCGGCATAAGTGTAACTTTCACGGCTTTTTTTAAACAAATCTGTTAAGCTTAAAAAAAAAACACCCTGTATATAAATGTATATGTATATATATATATATATATATAACTTCGCAATAGGTGGGAACTTTCGATGCCGAGCCATTTGCGTCAGAGTCAAGTCAATGTCACCTCTTAATGCGTTTTTGATTGTGGCACCGTGCAGAGGAGTACTGACCAGGGTGTCGAACCGGAACCGAATCGAACCGAAAACCGGAACAGAACCGTTATTTTTAGCCGAACCGGAACTGAACCGAACCGGAATCTTCGCCGCCCTCTTGGAACTGAACCGGAACCGAACCAAAAAAAAAAATATAACGGTAACCGGTTCTAAACGGTTCAAGGTAATATTTTTTTCTTTTTTGTTAGTATCACAAAATGAACATATGGGAATAAAAAATTTGCGGCTGTATTTCTATCTATGGATCAAATCGTCATATACAGAATTGAAAAGTATGGAAAGTTGTGGGTTTTCATGGCACTATGATTAACCATGTGTCACGTTGTCACGTGATGCCATGGTGTCAATACATGTTGTCACGTGACCTCATGACGTCACGTGACTCACTGCGTCAACTTGATTTAATTTGAGGAAGTCACTAGATGTATAAGCCTTGTTGACAGCATGACGTAACATGACATCGTGATTTCGCCCCGAGAGTCACGTGACACCGTGACGTAAGCGATTTTCATAACCACTGGTCGAGTGCTCGGGTTCATGGCAATCAGCACCGCCAAACCTTCGGGTAACGGCTCATGTCAGTTACTAATGATTATAGCCCAGCTCTTACAATATCTGAAGCTCGGCCCAAGCTTTTGCTTTCCAAACCCTAGCCTCCTAGAGCATGACTGCGATGAACACTGGCGGTATCAGATCACGTGGCCGCTTGTTTAAATTGTGAGTTGAGGAGATATCGGCAGCTGTCTCTTTCCTTTAGTTTTTCTGCATCTGCTATTAGATGAAAACTAATGGATGTTTCTGTAAGCTATCAACGTTAGGAGTTATTTCTTAACACTATTTATTAAAAGTACAAGAAAAAAATGTTGCAAGACCCACTTCACATTATTAAGGACCCAAATATTTGTTCGTATTTTTTCGTAGTCTCAGGGACATATTTCGGACTGCATCCGAAATATGTCCCTGAGAAAAGAAGTACTGAAATTACTAAATGCGACTTATTAATATGACGTTACATAGAACTACACGTGTGTACGGAAGGAATACTAAAAAAAAAAGGATATTTAGTGACCTCAGAGAGACAGCCGAACGTTGGCAGTCGCTGTAAGTCTCACACGAGCGTCGTTCTCAAGTTATTCCCCAAGTTTCGACTCCCTTTGTACTTTGCTTAAAGGAGCTATAAAAATATTTATATACATCACTAAGTACTACTCAGGAGCACTCTCTAAGGTTAATAACTGCTTCAGTTTGGCTTTGCTATTTTTTCTAGGCAATGGCAGTCGCCGAAAAATTCGAGAAATATGAGCATCGTTCATCCCCTCAACTCGGAGCCAAAAGCGGCCATGTAGCTTGGTGCCTATCTTATGCCGCCAACGTTAATCATACCCCCGCGCTGGGGTTGGAAAGAAAGATAACGCGTGCTGAGCTCCAGGCATTGTCAGAGTTCGGCTATTCTCATCACCGCAGTGGTTGGACACGAGCCACTACCTGAGTGCCCGTCGAGGCATTGATTGTTACGAGCCGATGTACGGTGCTCACGCAGTCGTCCTGTCCAATCCATAAGCCGCGCTCGACTCCCGTCAGGCGGGTGGTTTTGATCCTACAATCGCGACATCAATCTTTGGGAAGGCAAGACTAAAATAAATACTCTCATTTAATCCTCGTAATTTCACCGCAACAAAGAAGCTTCTGAATTACTGGCGGCCTGTGCAAGTATACTTGGGCCAGAATAGGACCAGTACGCCTCTGGAATGTCATGAGCATTCCAACCCGATGACGTTTTATGACCCATCTAAACTTCACGGGGTGCAAAAAAAAAAGCAATGAAGGGTTGCGGTTAACGAGTGTCAAAT